ACCTGTCTTTGAAAACCCACTAGTTTTGCAGTGTACAGCTTCTCAGTCCTGAATTTAGGACATCAGCATGAAAGCATATGTTGTGATAGATGAATATTTTTAGTCAGAAATATTTATAGTCCAAACATATTTCCTTACCTAGAAGTAAGAACCATTTATTTTTTGAAATTGTTAACTGTGCTTAGACCAACCCCCCCCCAAACATTATAAATCATTGTTGGGAAAAAATATTTTCTCTTGATTTTGCAACTAGAAGATGCGACAATAAGAAATTCTAACATACTGTATTTCTGCTACAATATGGGAGTCCAAGGCTGAGTATCTGCTGTCCCTTGCTGAAGCCTTGATTTACTATGATCTGAAGGTTAATATGGATGGATATTATCCAGAGTTATGGGTTCTTGCTACAAGTATTCTTTCAATAAAAAGAATGTGACTATATCAATTTGTCTGAAATTAGAATTTTTCATCTTGAAAACACTTTTCTCTTTTCCTTCAAAGACTCCTAGGGAGACCAAGCACACTGGAAGGAACTAAGTAATTAACTATCTTAAACACTTAGTCTGAGATATGTGAACAATTTAAAACAAGCTATGTTGTAGCCAACTCACTTTTGATAACTGCTCTTTTGTTTGCTTTTGGTAGTTCTCTTATTTGGAGTTCCTAGTGTTTAATGCCTTCGGAAGAGCTATTTTCCCATTTGGGAAAAAAACATTAAAGACACATGCAATTTGAACTTAATTATTGTGATCTTCAAACCATATTTAGCACTGTATCATGTGAAAAGCCATTATGGTTTATTCAACCAACCACAATTAAAACAAATGGTTGCTTGGTACATGTGAAATCACGGAGTAGAATGGACCGCCATGACTATCACCTTCAGCTTATTTCTCCGTGTGCAGCATCAGGAATATTTTATAAAATGCTTTCCAAAATTACACAGGCATAATTGAAGGCAAAGGCAATGATATAAGTCAATTTGGCTTTTTAAAAGTTAGGCTACCTTCATGTTGTGTATAATTACATTATTTAAAGATCATTCCTAAAAATAGAGCTGTTGTCATCCTAGCTGGATCATGAATAACTTCTATTTAAAAGGAACCAGATGCAAATAGATGAACATACATATTTTTAAAATATGTGCAAATGAATGTAATAGCAAGAAATGTTCTAGAAAGGTAAGCATCTAGGCTGACAGTGTTTGCTGTATAGAAACCTTGCAACCATCCTTGAATTAAAACATTATTTTAATCAAAATGAAAACTTATGCTTTTATTCTTTTAATAGAAGAATCTTTCAGGAATATCAGATATAGGGAGCTATGACTCATTATCTCTACTAGGAAGTGTGAAGGAGGATTTATAATCTAGCATTGTTAACATAAGCTTTTTAATATTTCAAGCTGCCTAGAAGACTTCACAGAAAAAGTGATGTAGAAATGTTTAAAATAAAGTTGAAAAAAGATCCAATTTTGAGTAATTACATTGTTCAGTCTCTAAATGCAATTAGGGACAAAGGTCTCATACTATATTCAACTAGTTTGCCGAATAAGCCACAATAAGTTGCATATCATCCTAAGGAGACACCACACACACATGTATGTGCCAGTTCAGGTTTTAAATGCAATATAGATGCAGCTGGATTTCACAGGATAACAGCATCAGGTTGACAATCACAAAAGCTTTTAGTTTTGATAGACAGCAGCCTAGAACATGTTTTCCCTCACACCTTCTGGTTGAAAAATTCACTTCATTCTTATTAATTTCTTTATTTTTTATTTATTTATGTATCAAATTTGCCACCACCCATCTCGTTAGAAAACGACTCCGAGTGGTTCACAGGTTTATTAGCTGCTTGCATCAGGTTTGTAGAAGCAGTATCAAGCATACGTGTCATGAACAGATATAAACTTAAGACACGATCCTGCTATTTTCACATTTATTACTAATATCTAGAATTACTGTTTGAAAATCTGTGGTCTAAACAAGAAATACGTGGTCGCCTGTATTCCCACTAGAGCAGTGTTGTCCAAACTTGGCCACTTTAAGATGAGTGGACTTCAACTCCCAGAATTCCCCAGCCAGCCATGCT